GTACCTTTTCTATCCGTTGAACTTTTATTCAAATTTACAAACTGTTTATTCATTTGAACTTTGTTACCTTGGCATTCCAGCGAATAATTTATTCTGTGCCACATTTTTGTAATACCACAGAATCGATATGTCATTCTGTCAGCAAAAATCATCTTTGAATTCAGGAAGTCCATTGCTTCTGCTCTTTTATTTGTATACCCACCATAAACAGAATCGCCTTAAAAATCGCAGGATTCATTTTCCGTTCATTTTGCGTTCGTGTTTCGTTGGATGGTCATTCAATTATAAAATTTCTTGCCTCACAATGTTCTGATCTGGTGTCATAAAAAACAATTCATGCCTGGTAAATTAACTGTGCGGAACTCAAACACAGGAATTTAAAGAAATCCCACAGCCATATTACGTAACTCTGTAGTATGGCATTCTCTCACGTCCAGAATATTCGCCACCAAAAAACCTGGGTATAAGAAATTACGCGTCAGGAAAAAGTACAACCCTGGAAACTAACTTTAAAAAAGTGTCTTTGTGTTTCGACTAAGAGATCTTAAATTGCTTATTTATTATGGGGGGGGGGGGGGGGGCGAAATGTTTGCTCTCAAAAAAAGAAATATATACCACCGGCACATTTGAGGCAAAGAAAATTCAACACTACGAAAACTTACCTCCGTAATGCTCGCCCATTAAAACAACTGGGGTCCGCACAGGTGACTTCAGATGCGAGAGCTCAGTTGCGGGGGATTTCTTCGAAAAATAGAATATAAGCTTGGTATCCCACATATCCAAGGAGCCTACGCATCAATTAGAACGGATCTGAGACTACATTCTTTGGAGAACCGAAGACGCATTTACACAATTCTTAGTTTGGTGGATTTTCATGTTCCAATGCGCATATTTAGAAGTATGACAGTGTTTAGAATTAAACAATTTACTAGCAATGTTTCCAGGAGTAATCCCCTAACTAGAATATTATCAGATGCCAACTATTTTTTTTTTTTGCCGTGGTTTGACCTTTTTAATTCGAATTACGGGTCTTTTAGAGTTAAACGTAATATTGATTGCTAACTTTTTTTGGTGATTTCTACTTTTTTAGCGCATTTCCACAAAAATAAAAAAAATGCGCTATTGTGGCCACTTTGTCCGTCCGTCCGCTCGTTCCTTGAGACGCGACTACTTCTTTCTGACAAATTTTCTGAACAAACCTCTGAAGAAGCTTTAAAGAATCCATAAAGAATATTTGAATGATCTCTCAGAATCAACACAAATTTAGTGAAAAACCACGAACCAGAAGTTTGCAGTCACATAAGTGCCACAAGGGATGCGTTGAAAAAGCCCTCGAGTGTTCTCTATAATACTTAAGAATCGACGATTTTACTAAGAACCTGATGGGATATTAAGAAACAATTGTATAATCAAGTCCTTAAAGCACGCGCAGCAAGTTTAAAGACACGACGCGTAGTGGAGAGCCTTTAAACGTTGCAAGTGCTTTAAAGACCAATTATACACGCGTTTCTTATAGTATTTTGTATTATACCTGCACTATAATTTAAAGATAAGGAAATTAAAATGAAAGCACGTTGACGGTATATTGGAAGACATTTCTAATTAAGGGCCGATTCTACAATGCAGGTATATACCGAGAATAAGCTATACCTAGAATAATTGTCGACGGTTGCGTTGGTTACAGTGGTGTCAACCAATGAGATACATGTTGCTATCGCAGTTATTCCAAGGATATCTTATTCTGCGTAAAAGTGTAATTGTAAAACCGGCCCTAAGTGGGTTGATTATTCGTAATTCCATGATTGCCATGGAAATGCCACTTTACGTTTGCTTATCAAAATCGCCGTCTTTGTAAATAACATGACTTTGGTTGGAGAAGATCATACACCGTCGATTCAGTGGCTTGCTGCACAAGCAGAAAAAGTTGGTACCTGCAAAATCGAAACGCAAAAATCTTTTATAAAGAATATGAAAAGCTGTTGCCGTGGGTAATAGGAAACATCTTTCAAAAGTGTTTGTGTTTCGTGCTGTTCTGCGGCCTTTTGAGGCTCCTTGGATGTCATCGATGTATACGCGTAACAAAATTTGAAGTCGCGTAGAATGTTGTCCATGAAACGTTGGAAGGTTTGTGCTGCGTTGGGTAATCCAAGCGTCATGTCATGAACGGAAATTCGAACAGACCGAAGGGCGTGGTGAGTGCTGTTTTCGCGATATCCTTTTCGGCTACGAGAATCTGATTGTAGGCTTTTACACGGTAGATTGTTGAAAAGACGATGTTTCCTGCGAGTTCTTGTGAAAAGTCTTCGATATGCGGAACTGGGTATCGATCAGGTAAGGTTGTGGCTTTCAGTGCCACGTAGTCTCCGCATGGTCTCCACTCGTTGGATTGGTTTGGCACCAATTGCAGTGGCGATGCCCAAGCACTTGATGAAGGTCGAGCTGTTTCCAATTCTATCATAGTCTGGAACTCTTTCTCGCTGCCGTTAATTTGTCTGGAGCGAGTCTCCTCGGTCTATGTGCTATGGGTGATCCATATGTGGTGCTTTGTTGTTTATTGTGGTTTCCCATGATTCCTGCTGGCTCGGTAGCTGTGTGAATTCTTTCAGGATTGCATGATATCCCGTGGCGTTTGGTTTTCATTTCCACCAATTGCTTTTCTACCGGGTTTTGCTAGGGTCGTCTGTGTGTCAACGTTCATAATATCGTCCAACAATCCATAATGGGCCATAATTTGCTCTTATTAGGTATAGGTTATAGCGAAATCTAATTTTTCTAAGGTCGCACCTTTAGAGTGAGTTGTACATATAGTAGGTGATTACCTAGCTCCTTAGTAGACAAAAAATCATTAATTTTGTTAACATTATCAAGATGCGGAGGCATTGTAAAGGTCTTGTGATTATGAGATATTCCCAACTATTCTTTATATATGTGTGATTTTTGGGTAGTGCTTTTAAGCTGATACTCAAAATAATTCCTTTTAGCCCGCAACGAAGTCTGTCCGAGGCCTTAACTACTTCTACAGTTTTGAAGATATTGAGTTCGTTCTTTTTGCACTCGCAGGCTGCACAATGTCTACTTTCTTATTTATTAATATATTTTCTTGAAATATTAACCACAGGTACTTTTAGTGAAGGCAACATATCGCATATAGAAAAAATCAGATGTGCGCATGCGCAGACTTCGCAATGCCAACTTTCCTATTTATATAGATATTTCTTTAAAATTTTAACCAAAGATGCTTTTATTAAAAGCAAACGTATCGCTTATTGTTAACATCAAACATCACGATGCGCAATATCAACTGTCTTATTTATCGAGATACATTGTTGAAAGTTTAATTACAGATGCTTCTGTTAAAAGCGAACATATCTGATATTGCCAATATTATATGCGCGCATGCGCAGTCAGTGCCAACTTCCTTATTTATGAAGATATTCCTTTGAAATTTTAACCATAGATGCTTCTAGAAAAGGAAAACACATCACATGTAGTAAAAATCGAAAACTACAAATGCAAATCCATATTAAATTCAGACAAGTGAATGGATTTCAGGTTCCCATAGACCAACTTATTGACATAATTATATAGGAAGATTTAATATCGAGATTCAGGGTGACCGAAACTGTGTGATGAATTTCAGCATACATTCATCAGAGGTCAAGGCACGATCCTATATCATTTGTGGAATATTAAAAAAACTCAACATTTCCATATATTGTTGAACTCCTGGTTTATTAGATTTTAAGAGATCAAAGTTCATGTCCCCTATAAGCAGAAAATGATTTCATTTTTTTGTTAACAATAGAAATCCTCGAATTCTGATACAAAATCGGAGTAGGTAATTGTTCAATGATGGCCGATGAGGATCGGTACCTGATAACAACAACAAAATAAAACTAATGGATTTATTCGTTCCAAACACTCGATACTTACAAGAAATTTAACAATAATCGGTCTTTCTGGCGTTTTTTGTTGGCTTGTCTCAGACGGTGACATCTTTCAATTAGATGCTGGGGATTGCGAAATATCGATGTTTAACTTACTTTTGATGAACGTTATGATGTCGCCGATTTCATTATTTGTTTCATTCACGTCATGCAAAAGAAGGCAATTTCGACGAGAGGAATTTCCCAGGTGGTCCATTCTGTTATCTGTTATCTATAGAATCCAGACGCATATGCATATGCATATGGGCAGTCAGTTTCAAGTGGCCCTCCTTCAATGACAGAAATTTGTTAAGTAAGGCGCATAAATTACCTGCATTTTTCATTTATCGTTCATGGCTCTTTGCAGGCAGAATGGGCATTCTTGACTTAAAAAATCGATTTTTATTTGAGGCACACTCATTTTCATATCCTACGATTTTTCTTTTGAACGAACAGCACTGGTAATTAATACACATGACCACGAGCAAGTTGAGTACTAAAGTACTGATAATAGGTACAATAACTAGATTCAAATTTGCACAAGCAGGTTCGTTGCGACTTCTCACGGCAACCGCCATAATACCATTTCTAATGAAAAGGCTGAAAGGTTGAACAAATAGAAAAGGGATTTGAGCTGATAAAGGAAACTAGGTGACCAAATCACACCTCCTAATAGATTCCCCCGAGAAAAGATAATAGATCCACCCCTCTAGAATTTTGTAGGCCAAACGATTGTTTATTTGCATTTCATTTCAATTATACTTCACTTGGTACAACTGTAAACTAATCAAAGCCTCATCTTTTGGTTTGATATTTCTACATTTTCTAATTGCATTGCAACAAATGGGATAATTAGAGCATACTTTGACAGACTGTTACCTGGAATACGAACAAATAAACTTATTCACGGTATTTAACCTTAACAATGAAAAGGAAATGATTTGCAAGCGTCGTATTGCGTTATGAAAAAAGCAAATCTGAATGGCAAAGCAGGTTAGAGTGCTAATGTAACTTGCTATACCTACGTAAGATGGATAGGTAGGTACGTTTGCACTTTTCTTTCACCTAGTAAACGGCATGCCCTAAATTTTTCCTATTCTTACAGTTCGAACCATCATTATGTTTAAATTGGGGCGAGGATGTCATTTATTAATGATCTTAATCTGGTACCTTGAAGATGAAGAGTAATTACGGAAGATTTTCGTGTAATCTGTTTTTAATACGTAATGAGGGGAAATGTACCGAAAGCGTTCGGGTTCTTTCTGCATGAAATTTTTTTAACAGGTCGTTTTAGGCCGACACACTTTTCGAGAATGAATGTTATCTCTGTTCTTCGCGTGAGTGAAGAGAAGAGGCAAGTGTGGAAGGAATACCATATACCAACTGGGTAAATATAGGTGTACGGCTTAGATCTAACGAAAGTTGGGTGATATTCTTCAGCGCCAGTGTCACCGCTTCCTTCTTGCAGAGGCATCGATGTACTTAGTCGTATAGTGCTTAAAATTATTACGTGCACCTAGTGCTTTAAAAGTTAAGAGGGTAAGGACTACGCTTAAGTCTCTTTGTCTCCAGTTTTTGAGCAACAAAATTACAAATTTGTGGAAAAATAGTCTATTCTTATGCAACTGTGAATTTTGCACTTTTACGTACAACGACCGTAACGCATGCACTGCTGACGTTAATGAAACGTTGGCAATTAACATTTCTCATATTTGATTCTACGTAATATTACAATAAGCATTAACTACGTCAAAATCGAAAGGCCACCGCTTTTACTAATTCAAATAATGTCATACCTTAATGCAAATTAGGTGCTTAACTTTCGTATTTTGAAGGGGCACTTAAGTAATTACAGAACTTAACCGGAAATATAAATAGAGATCGAGCAAATTTAACTAATTACATCACAATCAACGCGAGTTACGTGAACTTAACTAACGATTTGTTTCAGGCCAAAATGTCGGCGCTTATGTACATGGTTGTCGAAAACTACAACGAGGTTCTGCAATCCAAAAAAGGTTCCGTATTTACATGTTTAATAATATTTCCTAACCAAAAGCTTAATTTCAGATCCCGTGGTAGATACGTGGTTGTTTATGCAGTCGCCTTTACCAGTAGTAACGATTTTAGTATCCTATTTATATTTTGTTCTCAAATTAGGCCCGCAATTAATGAAAAAAAGGAGACCGTTTAATATATCAAATGTATTGGTGGTGTATAACGCGTACCAAGTGATATTCAGCGCGTGGTTATGCATGCAACCCTTTCTAGTGGAAAATGCCTTCCAAATGATTTTCAAAACCTGTGGGACATTCGCGCCTAGATCATCCTACACGATTGCCGTAAGTTGCATTATAGTAAATTATATAGGTTTACAGTGAGCTTTTAGCTCGCAAGAGGAGCTTGGTGGTACTTCTTCTCGAAAGTAATCGAACTTTTGGATACGATCTTCTTTGTGCTTAGAAAGAAGCAGTCTCAAGTGACATTTTTGCACGTTTATCACCATGCCAACACGATGTTCTTCTCATGGGTGTACTTAAAGTTTTTACCCGGTAAGTCTTTGCCTCCTTACTGGCCTACTTAAGTTACAGATTAAATTTTATAGGTGAGCAAGGAGTGGTCATCGGTGTTTTGAACTCGGCAGTACACGTTGTGATGTACTTGTATTATTTAATCGCAGCTCTTGGTCCGAAGTACCAAAAATACTTGTGGTGGAAGAAGTACCTTACTTGGATTCAACTTGTAAGTGATGCCACCGTTAAAAGTAAAATTTATCAACACACATTTTCTTTCAGACCCAATTTTGCATCATGCTTGTGTACTTGGCGTCTGTTATCTTATTGGATTGCAAAATGCCAAAAGCTTTAACATTCTTCTTCGTTACGAACGTAGTTATATTTCTCTACCTTTTTACGGATTTTTACCGGAAAGCCTACAGAAAGAAAAATGTACCAACAAGTGAGGATATCAAATATGTTAAAGTAGATTGAATTGAAGACTCGGTGGACTTTTTGTACAAACTTTTAATTTAATATGTTCGAATGTTAGAAAATCTAAGTGTATCTGCGTTTCTTCGGTGGACATCTTAATTTTGTTAAATAATGTAGTTCTTAAGCACACACTAGCGCTTTCTCATTGTGACCTTACAATGCATCATTTTTATAAAGCCTGGTGACCGCCAAGTGCGTACTTCTGATTCTGATAGCTTAGTGTGTCATCAGTTTTTTCAACAAAACGCGACAGGACACCAAGTTATAATGTCTAACTGCGTATAGTAGTAATAGTTTACGACTGAATTGTGAATATCAAAATCGATGTTCTACATATAATGATTTAAACCATCTGCACCAAAGCATTGAATAAAATTTATTCAATGACCAAAGCAATAATTTGTGGCGCAATGGAAGAACTGTCACCTCCACGTGATTATTGTTAAAAGCTAGATAGAGCATTATCTAGTTTAGTGGGAACGAGAACAAACTAAGATTGGAGCATGGCCTAGTCCCCAAAAAGATAAGAATCTAAAGTGGTAGAATAAGAGAAACGTGGAGGTGGAAGTATGTGTAAAGAATGAGACAACCTCCATGTACATTTTGGAAACAGTAGATTAAGGAGTTATAGTTGTGACGAGCGTAGCAAGATCCTCGGCAACAAAATACTACAGATCCTTTTTTCGAATTGATTATTCTACTCAGTGCTAGTATTACATAAAGCTGCCATATGAATAATTAAAATGAGGTCAACGTTCAACGTTTGGAGTAAAATGGTTACTTATATACAAACTACTGTGCTTATATTGTAATGGAAGTAACTGATGTTCAGTTGAAGTACCAAAGAGTAATCCTGACATTTTACGCACGATCTGCGCTGACCTATTAAAGCATGTTTTATCGGAAGCCTAATTTTACTTAAGTAGGCATGTTATCTAAGATTTTCAATTAGAGGTATTCTTTATAATGTAGGTATTTGTTTTGTATGCATTATTTTACAGTTTTATATAAATAGCCATCTTCGTTTTGGAAATTGACGTGATTTAACCTCAATTCATCACGTGTATGGAATATACCGTTAATTTTTATTGATTGAAATTGTTTTCATTTTTACCTGCTTAACTTGTGACTGCAATTTGGATTTATTAATCAAAGGTCAAGAGTGTTAAATTATTGCCCTCGATATTGAATTTATTACTTTATACCTACTAATATTTTGCCACGTCATGTTTCTTTGTTTTGGTGTAATGTTAATTAACGTAATGATCCTTGCGCTATTTGAACAGAATAATAATGAATATTAATATTTAGCAGGAGACTTATTTCGAATATGTGATATACCGCCTCGTTTTTGAAATCTTGACATGCGTTGAAGCTTAACCGCAAATAAGCCACCTGACACACGCCAGAGTTATATTTGCGTGTGCGTACTTGTTTATATGATCCTTAGAAAAGAGCTACCTCATCAATAGAAATCATTCAAAATCTCCTTTATTTGGTGATGGCAAGTTAAGTGTAACGGATGGTTACAAATAAAATGGTGGTTCGGAAATTCTTCCTCGCAGAGGGGTGCAAATTTGTATTAGTATCTTGTGAGGGGTTGAAGATTTTCTCCGATTCGTGGTCCTTCTAAGTACATTTATTATTATTAAATCTTAAAACAATGAAAATAAAATTCTTACAACCACTCTAAAAAGCGACATCCTAAATGTAATTGAAATAAAATAAACCTACCGGTCAAATATATAGATAGATGACTTTCCTATTCTTAAAAAAAATGAATAAATTAAATAAACATTCAAAGTGACGTACAAACAAAATCAGTTAATTTTGTTCACTCGTATTTCGCAATCAAAATGCAAGCAGTGGAAAATGTCTCTTTAATTGTTGCAAGTGCAGCGAATCGCTGACCTCAAACAGATGGAATTTTTCGCCTCGTGTATAATTTCTGCAGGTCGGCTTTCGGAAAGATTTTGCGTACTGGCTCTAGTCGCGCTAGTCTCACTAATACATAATCATTGTTCCTAACTTTAAAACATCACGAAATTGTGAACCCAGAATGTGTAACATTTTTAGGTGCGCATCTCGACGAAAAAGCATCTTGGTCGCATGTCAATCATATCTCAGCTAAATTTAGTAGAAACTTGTTTTTAGCGCATTTTTGCAAAAAATTTTTTTTGTAAAAAGTAGCTTTTAATCTCACTTTGGCTGGCTGGCTGACTGGCTGGCTGGCTGGCTGGCTGGCTGGCCGGCTGGCTGGCTGGCTGGCCGGCTGGCTGGCTGGCTGGCTGGCTGGCAGCAAATGTGGGCGCGTAGAAGAACTCTTGTAGAAAGGCAACGGGTGTACGTGTATCTACAGGGCCGTGAAATTTGTCAACCTTAGGGACATGGCTACATGATGTGGGGTTGGCGACATCTGGGCGTCATCCTCGAGCGTAGTATACTAACGTGAAGGTTTTTCAGTTTTTTCCTATCTTCTACTACAGTTTTGGTCCGATTCTTTTGAAATTGGTGTCGTCGGAAAGATGTTGTAAACGCGCACAACTCCTGCGTGGCGGAATTTTGTTTTTTGTCATAGGGGCGAAATTAACGACCTTTTGCGAGGCGGCGCGCGCGTCTTCGAGAAGTAGTCAGGCGCCTTTTACCTTCCGTTGCGAACTCACGCGGTTTAACGTTTCGTGAATCTCGAATCGCTGTCTCTCTTTCTCGTGTCGCCAATAGAAGTGAATTGCGAGTGAACGGGACGTCGGAAGTGGGTACCGTAAAAGAGAATGTGGTAGCCCGCGACACGATCTCACTGATGGTGGAGTCAAATCTTCAAACGCGAATTGCGAGTGAACGGGACGTCGGAAGGGGGTACCGTCAACGGGAATGTGGTAGCCCCCGACACGATCTTCCTGATGGTGGAGTCAAATCTTCAAACGCGAATTGCGGGTGAACGGGACGTCGGAAGTGGGTACCGTAAAAGGGAATGTGGTAGCCCGCGACACGATCTCACTGATGGTGGAGTCAAATCTTCAAACGCGAATTGCTGGTGAACGGGACGTCGGAAGGAGGTACCGTCAAAGGGAATGTGGTAGCCCCCGACACGATCTTCCTGATGGTGGAGTCAAATCTTCAAACGCGAATTGCGGGTGAACGGGACGTCGGAAGTGGGTACCGTAAAAGGGAATGTGGTAGCCCGCGACACGATCTCACTGATGGTGGAGTCAAATCTTCAACGCGAATTGCGGGTGAACGGGACGTCGGAAGGGGTACCGTCAAAGGAATGTGGTAGCCCCCGACACGATCTTCCTGATGGTGGAGTCAAATCTTCAAACGCGAATTGCGGGTGAACGGGACGTCGGAAGGGGGTACCGTCAAAGGAAATGTGGTAGCCCCCGACACGATCTTCCTGATGGTGGAGTCAAATCTTCAAACGCGAATTGCGGGTGAACGGGACGTCGGAAGGAGGTACCGTCAAAGGGAATGTGGTAGCCCCCGACACGATCTTCCTGATGGTGGAGTCAAATCTTCAAACGCGAATTGCGGGTGAACGGGACGTCGGAAGTGGGTACCGTAAAAGGGAATGTGGTAGCCCGCGACACGATCTCACTGATGGTGGAGTCAAATCTTCAATCGCGAATTGCGGGTGAACGGGACGGCGGAAGGGGGCACCGTCAAAGGAAATGTGGTAGCCCCCGACACGATCTTCCTGATGGTGGAGTCAAATCTTCAAACGCGAATTGCGGGTGAACGGGATGTCGGAAGGGGGTACCGTCAAAGGAAATGTGGTAGCCCCCGACACGATTTTCCTGATGGTGGAGTCAAATCTTCAAACGCGAATTGCTGGTGAACGGGACGTCGGAAGGAGGTACCGTCAAAGGGATTGTGGTAGCCCCCGACACGATCTTCTTGATGGTGGAGTCAAATCTTCAAACGCGAATTGCGGGTGAACGGGACGTCGGAAGTGGGTACCGTAAAAGGGAATGTGGTAGCCCGCGACACGATCTCACTGATGGTGGTGTCAAATCTTCAATCGCGAATTGCGGGCGAACGGGACGTCGGAAGGGGGTACCGTCAACGGAAATGTGGTAGCCCCCGACACGATCTTCCTGATGGTGGAGTCAAATCTTCAAACGCGAATTGCGGGTGAACCGAACGTCGGAAGTGGGTACCGTAAAAGGGAATGTGGTAGCCCGCGACACGATCTCACTGATGGTGGAGTCAAATCTTCAAACGAGAATTGCGGGTGAACGGGACGTCGGGAAGCGGTTAGTGAATGTAGTAGCCTTCGACAAGATCTGTTATTGATGGTTGAATCGAAAGTGGCTAATAGAATACTGATCTGCCACACAAAAATGCGCTGAAGTCCCTTCGATCTCAAACGAGGACTTTGATAATTTTTTTACTTGTTCGCAACCGTACCGTATTTAGGTATATCTTTTACTTTTGCATTTTCGCTAGGTAGGTACGTTTTGTAATTACCGCATTAATTTTTAGCGCATTTCCACAAAAATAAAAAAAAAATGCGCTATTGTGGCCACTTTGTCCGTCCGTCCGTCCGTCCGTCCGTCCGTCCGTCCGCTAACTTTTGCGACGCTACTAGTTCTTTATCTTAAGAGCTATTGTTCTACTTTTTTCGCTATTTGGTTCGTTATGGTGTCGAGTCTTGTACCAAGGAAGGAATTTTTTCTGTACCGCTTACAAAAAAAGTTATTGTAAAAAAAACAAAAAACCGTTTTTTACATGTTCCATAATTTTACACTTTTGCCGTTTATTAACGATCCTAAGAGATCGTTTATAATTTTGCATTGCTATCTGTCGCCTGCCGGTTGGTCTGTCCGTCTGTTCCTTTGTCTGTCTGTCCATCTATCTGTCCGCGTGAACGATAACTTTGTTTAGAAATGTTCGATCGCTTTTACATCTCCGTTAGTTATGAACTGAATTGCATGAAATTCAATATGGGCATAGCTTTAGCCATATAATACGCAATGCCAAAAGTTGAATCGAATCGATTCAAAATTCACAGTGCCCTTTTCGCATCTCGACCATTTATAAACCGAATTGCAAACTTTTTTTACTTATAAAAGTATTTGAATGAAATTTGATACATAGGCACTTGGAATAAAGGAAAATCAAACGCCAATTTCAAAATTTGGTTTTGCGCATGCGCAGTGCCAACTTTTTATTTATGGAAGAATTTAAACGAAATTTGATACATAGGCACTTGGGATAAAGGAAAATCAAACGCCAATTTCAAAATTTGGTTTTGCGCATGCGCAGTGCCAACTTTTTTATTTATGGAAGAATTTAAACGAAATTTGATACATAGGCACTTGGGATAAAGGAAAATCAAACGCCAATTTCAAAATTTGGTTTTGCGCATGCGCAGTGCCAACTTTTTTATTTATGGAAGAATTTAAACGAAATTTGATACATAGGCACTTGGGATAAAGGAAAATCAAACGCAAATTTCAAAATTTGGTTTTGCGCATGCGCAGTGCCAACTTTTTTATTTATGGAAGAATTTAAACGAAATTTATCCATAGGCACTTGGAATAAAGGAAAATCTAGCGCCAGTTTCAAAATTTTATTTTGCGCATGCGCCGTGCCAACTTTTTTTACCTATGGAACTATTTAAGTGAAATTTGATACTTAGGCGCTTGGAACAAAGGAAAATCTTAGTTTATTAGTTAGTTATAGTAAATTAGTTTTAAAATTTAGGTTTGCGCATGCGAAGTTCCAACTTTCTTATTTAGAAAAGCATTGAAATGAAATTCTTCTCATAAACTGAAATTGAAGTAGCACGTCAACAATGGATTGCCCATGTGCAACGCTATCTTTCATATTTGTGGGCGGATTTTACGATTTTAACAGAAGTTGCATCTTACAAATGGGAAATGAATGCAAGTGGAAATGCGCTTTATGTAAATCGTTTACGATTACTTTTTAACTTGTTATTATTGCCTTAAATTTATTTTCGCATCCGTACCGTATTTATATTTTTTAATTAATTTTAAGGTAATTTGTTGCTACTTTCCGTTTCAGTAATTATAGGAGGGGGGGGGGGGATATTGTTCGCTTTTCCACAATTGCTTAGCTA